AAAAAAAAAAAAAAAAAACAGATTAGGAACTGCTGTTTCCAGCAACATGAGCACTCAACCATCAGGTCATAGTGGGAGACAGAGATTTTGGGTGACTGAGTGGCATGGACGCATGGTGATTCTGTATTCATACTTTGTGTCTCTTGAGTAGGTTTTGCGCATCCAGAACATTCTCTCAGAGAAGCCCACAGTAACAACAGTTTATGCCAACAATGGATCTGTCCTCCAGGGAAGTTCTGTGGCCTCAGTCTACAATGGCAAGCTGCTCATCGGTACTTTATACCACAGAGCTTTATACTGTGAACTCTAAATTGTATTTTGGGTATATAAGTGTGATAACCTCTAGCAATTAATTTTCTAGGAATCGTTCGTTGTGAGGGAATGTAACCAGCAATGCTGACCCAGATCTGTATGGCATATAGTTCATGTTATTGCAGCAACAAAAGTCTCCTGCAGTTCTTATAGCATTGTTAACCTAAAAGGAAAATGAACATTTTTTTTTTTTAATGCCAAGCAAGGGAGAGAAAGAAAAACTGCTTTTCTGTAGAGAATACACTTCGCGAACAAGAGCCTCATCTTTACCTTCCAACTACTGCACATCAGTAGTCCACTGAAGCAGGATGAGTTGTTTATAGAAAAATGTTAAGTGACCTCAGTTCCCACCTGGTGACCACTGTGAGCATTCAGAACTACTGAGAGATAATATTGTGAAGTTTTGTACTTACATTTTTGTTTACTGTTAAAGAGGTGAAATTATATTAAAGACTAACAAATCCAGGCCGTGCGTGTGTCTCATTCTCAGGACACTCCCTCAGAATGGGAGGCAGCCACTTTCTGTGGGATTTCGCCCTGATAGGCACAGCTGTGTCAGTTCCTCTCCTCGAAAGCTGGACCGGAAGGGGCTCTTTATTTGACAAACATAAAACAAAGACACAAAATCAACTAAACACTGAAATTTATATTCTCAACTTGTAGGGAAATTGTTTCATCAGTGCTCTTCCCAAATGGGAGCTCACCTTGGGTACAAAGAAGAGATAAAAGTTGGAACTGGCAGGTCAGCAGGGTCCTCTCATCTGTGACCAGAAGCCAGGAGAAACGGAGTCAAGTGTCCAGGACCACATAGTTAATCAGCCACAGTGCTAGGTTCAGGGCCAAACGTGCCTCTGTCACAGGGGGAAGAGCTTTTTCCACTCACTATACCTCCTACAAACTACATTACACTCTAGAGAGAGACTTTCATGTATTTCTATTTAATTTATCAAAGCACTGTATTTCAATGCTCATACTTTTCACCCATTTTTATCACTATCATTAGAAATATTGGTTACAAGCCAGGAATGGTGGAGCATGCCTATAATCCCAGCACTGAGGAGACTGAGGCAGGAGGATTGCTGTGAGTTCAAGACCACCCTGGGCTACATAGTGAGTTTCAGGTCATTCTCAACTACATAGTGAGACCCTGTCTCAATAAAACAAACAAACAAAAAAAGCCTAGCCTCCGTGGTTCTTGGGATATTCTATTTCATTCAACTTTATTGTGTATTTATGGCTGTCTTTTTGGTGATCATTTACTGAGTTCAACAGTTTGGTCATTATGAGGTCGTCATTGGAAACAACTGAAACTGCAATTAATGTGTGACACCACTAGGTGGAGATAGGCCTTTGTACTTGTGTATTTTAATTCATTTGAGATAAACAGCCTTGTGTTGTTTTTTTTACAATGCCTCAGCTCTTTTGTAACAGTTAATTGTGAGCAGAAATATTTAAAAACAGGAAACAAGGGAAATTGAATATATTACGCCGTGTTTATTTTTCATTTTGTGCCTAAATCATTTATGACAACTAAGGATGATCTTTTCTCTAGATTTTGATTCACTCAATTTGAATACTGCCCGCGGACCAGTGAATGGAAAAGTAACCTGTACAGGTTTTACTGCTGTTTCAATTTCCCAGTGCTTGCAGATGCTCAGCCCTCTTCCTACAAACCTGGTGCCCTTTCTTACACCTCATTAATGCTTTTTTCTGCTTGTGCAGTCTACTGAGTCCATAATGACTCAAAATATTATAATATGTTTTGGAGGTATAATCCAAGCTAGAGTCACCAAGGGACTATAGGACATCGATGAAGGATCCCTGAAGAGTTAGTGTAGATTCATGTGGAAAGGGCCACTCTGGCAATGCGACCCTTTAAAACTCATCCCATTCACTTGGCACCAAGATACTGAAACTAACGAGGACCCTGGTGTACCTTGCTGCCAAACGCACCAAGCACAGGTGACTTCAAGCGTCCCGCAAGCTGTACCTGAGGTCCTGAGTGGGGGAAGTAACAAGAGGATATCAGACCATCACCGTGCGGCTGCGTATTACACATGAATAGAATTGAGAATTTTATTTAAACTGAAGTATATCATATTCTTGAAGTAATACATCTCTGTGGTCTTCTAGCTTTTTGCTCCTCTAAGCCACACAAAACATATGCCAAGGACGTCATCGATAGCCCAGTTTTACCCACTGGTGTTTATGGGGTAGGACAATGTTTCCTAATGGTCTGAAACCTGAATCGCCTTTTTAAAGAACGGCTTTATGTAGAGATGCTCACCTTCTCTTTTGACTTATTGTTACTCTTCCTCCATTGCCACCTCTTTTTCTAGGCAAGAATCACTGATTTGAACAATCTTTTTAAATAAGGCATTCCACAGCTATAAACAGGGTCAAGAGAGACGACACATTTTTCAAACATCACAGAAGGTCGTACAATAAAAGCAAGGCTTTCCTCCATATTCACTGACCTGACCTCCCTCCTCTCCACTACCTCAAGTTTCTGTCCCTGAGGTCACTACTCTTCAGTTTGTGCCTATATTGTTTTTATGCCCGTGTGTAATATGTAACACTTCCTTTTTATATAATAGGGTTACATCAGATGTACATTCTGCACCCTCCTGAATAGTATTTTGATAATGGTTGGTGTTGGCCTGACTAGATTTAAATATTGGGCTACTTATTGTTCAGCACATACTCTTATTTGGCTCCATATTAGCTCTTTGAAAAGCCCCACTGTACACATAAAAAAACAAAGACCCAGGGTGAGAGGCGATTTCTAAAGATCAAGGAGTCCAGTTAAAAATGGACTGGGAACTTGAATTTAGGGTTTTTAATTTTATTTGTCTGCTCTTTCAATGACAACAAACCCCTTTCACGTCACTGATGGACTCCGGCCGCTTAACAGAGCCAATGTGGCCTGCAGTCAGGATCTGTGTGCTGACTGGGAATAATCTCAAAGATCAGGTATGGGTGCGAAGGCAGGCCTTTTCCCCACCTTCTCACTGCCAGGCAATATGATCCAATAAACACAAAGCTGAAGGCCGAATACGTAATTCACAAATGGTTACTGAGAAGACATGAAGACCACCACACTTCCTGTTTTATAAGCTCCGGAAGTCTCGGCTGGTTCCAGGCATGTTCCCAGAGCAACCCCATCCCTCCCCACTCATCTTCTTGCTTCTGTTTTCATTCCTTTCTCCTGAGTTCTCTCTGAGGGCGGATACCGCATTCAGCACTCTGGAGGGAGACGGTGGGCAAGGTTCTGTGTCCAAATCTTGAAGAAGGTTGAAGTAAAGCTTGCCTGCCAGAAACCCGCGTTGCAGGCTGTGAAATCGGACTTCCTGCCCTGTCCCGCCCTGGCCTTCAGTCGCCCTCAGTCCCTTTGGGCTGAGGTCGAGTTTCAGGGCTTTTAAAAGTCAACGTAGTCCGTCGGTTCACAAAGCAGTGAATTCTTGCCAAGTCCACGCTGCCAATTGAACCTTTGGTAGAACGTGTGGACGGGAGGAAGGAATGGAGGAGAGAGGAAGGTGGGAAGACAGGAAGAGAGAGGAGGTGGAGGGGGGCGGGAGGGGAGGAGAGGGCAGACGCGCAGGAAGGTACCTC